TAGTAAAACCGTCGTTGATTGTATATAAAAAGACGTTATGGTGTTAAAAGAGGTCATTGATAATATATACAGATGACGGTTTTTCCAATAAAACCATCGTTTTATTATCTTTAGTTTTTTGAAGAGTCAATAGTTATTACATAGTCAACCAATCTTTATTCTATTACATACATACTTCCTACCTATAATTAGAAATAACGGAGCTCACAAATTCTACTAATTTGATTTTAACTTCATCAATTTGTTCTTAGGTTGACTTAGCTCTGCCTTCTTGCACATTTTCCAAGTTGTTGGTGTCGGAAAAGGAAAGACCTGCACGAAAGAGACCCCAATACTCTTAAACATAAACTTGTTTAGCAGTAACCTAACCTTCGCCGACTGCCCGAAACATAGCACCCATGTGACCTATGCCATCCACGCTGAGAGCCGGTCGATTGAACCCACGGATGATCCTCGGGAAGAATACCTGCGGCCCGGCCCCAGCCTTTGGAAGACTTGGAATCCGTAGTCATTTCCGACGCCCACCCAGAACAACCAATCCGGGTAGGAAAGAACCTCAATGCGACCGACTGAGAGAACCTCCTCGCCTTTTTACGCAGCAACACAGATTGCTTTGCATGGTCCCATGCCGATGTACCCGAAATTAATCCCCGCATCATCACTCACCGCTTGGGGATCGACCCTCGGGCTTAGCCAATCCGGAAGAAGCGGCGGCCTTATGACAACGTCAGATACTCGGCCATGAAAGAGGAGGTCCAGAAGCTGAAAGAGGTCGGTTCCATCCGCGAGGTAGATTACCCAATGTGGGTGTCTAGCCTAGTTATGGTGAAGAAGACACCCGAAAAATGGAGGATGTGCGTCGACTTCACCGACCTAAACAAGGCTTGCCCCAAAGACAGCTTCCCTCTTCCTCTGATCGACCAGCTTGTCGACGTCACCGCAGGGTTCGCCCTCCTTAGCTTCCTAGACGCCTATTCGGGATACAACCAGATCATAATGGACCCCGCTGACGAAAAGGATACCCTGTTCGTCACCAACTGAGGACTCTACTCATATCGAGTCATGCCCTTCGGTCTTAAAAATGTAGGCTCCACGTACCAACGACTTGTGAATCGGATGTTCGGAAAAGGATACCCCGTTCATCACCGACTGAGGACTCTACTGTTATCGAGTCATGCCCTTCAGTCTTAAAAATGCAGGTGCCATGTACCAACGACTTGTGAATCAGATGTTCGCCAAACACCTGGGCCGATCCATTGAGGTATATGTGGACGACATGCTCGTCAAAAGCCGCACTACGGACCAGCACGTCAACTGCCTCGCCGAGATGTTCACAATCCTCCTTCAATACTGAATGCGCCTAAATCCCGCCAATTGTGTCTTCGGTGTCGAATCAGGAAAAATCCTTGGATTCATGGTCAGCCAACGAGGAGTGGAGGCCAACCCCAAGAAGATCCGAGCACTACTTGAGAGGGTCCCGCCCAAAAACAAAAAAGAGATACAAAGCCTCACCGGGCGAGTCGCCGCCCTCCTCAACAGCTTCATTTCGCAGTCCACTAATCGATGCTTACCCTTCTTTAAAGCCATACGAGGTGCACAGCGATTGGATAGAGGAATGCGATGAGGCTTTCCGGAGCCTAAAAGTACACATGGGGACTGCCCTCATCCTCTCCAAACCAGAACTTGGTGAAACTCTGGGCATCTACTTATCTTTGTTGTCCTTAGCAGTAAACCTGGTTTGGACCCTGAGACAATTTGATGTCAAAAATGCATTCCTGCGTGGAACTAGAAGTAAAGGTGTACATGACTCTCCCATCAGGGTATGGCGTCATTGGTGATATATGGAATGTGTGTGTTTGTGCCTAATAAATCTCAGTCGTGGACTGACCGAAAGAACTTCCTCTCGACCCTCGCACCAGCCCATGAACTGAAACGTGGCGTTTCGTTAGACATTTTGCCTTCCTAAAAACAAAAGAAAAACTGCGAAGGCGGAATCCTCTTGGCCAGAGAGATTGAGGATAGATCGCCACGTGGGCGACAAGGTCCCACACTTCATTTAATGAAGTAATGCCTCTGATTATGGCAGCAAACCCACTAGCCACAAAAAAACATTTAATGCACGAGGGAAGATGGGAAGTGACTGAAGTCAGGGTTTTAGTGATGGAAATCAGAGTGGTTAGGCACAAACATTCTCACAAATATTCATACAGCTTGAGAGATTAGGTCACCAGCTATCAGAGCATTAAATGCGTCTCCACGGCCAAGGGTGCAGAACCCACGATCAGGGCGACAGCTGGGATTTACCGGGCTCCACCATGCTTCACGATCCCAAATGCCGATTTGACTACCCACTTGCTATGATCAGGCTCCACCATGCAGATTTTCAGCCTCGATTACTCCTCCAGAGCTCTTCCTATAAATATCAAGCTCAAACTACGTTCAAAGGGTTCAACACCAAACACAAGCCTCCCACGGAGTAAATTATATTTTCCTGTCATTTACATTGTTGTAATGCACTTTCAATACCTTTACTTGCTTTCCTAAGAGTAGTGATAGATTGTAAGGAAAATCCGTCATCAATAGATCATATGACCCTTGACCTTCAAGGCGCCGGAGCACCATCTTTGTTACTCCACTCATCCACCCGATATATCATACGACCGTCGCTCTCTGAGCAAAGCGCCGGAGCACCACCCAAAACCCACCATCAACACCACCACTAAACGGCCTTGTAGCTCAATCCGTGAACCTGACGACCGAGATCAGTTCCTCTCTCGGCCACAA